AATTTTCCTTCTTTAGTTCGAAGCAATTTTAATATTTTAAATTGCCTTGGAAATATGTACAGATTTATAGCAGGACTGAAATACAATGCAGATGAAGGCAATATTTACTCCCAGCACTACTTTTATCTTGTTATTCTTTCCAAGGAAATTGTACGGAATTTACTTTGCTTTCCTTTGAAATCTTGCTACAAAGAAAACACTTCTTAACAAAAAAATGTTTTTTGCTTCTGCTCTTTTTGAATTCCTAAATTAAGTGAACAAGTACATCACTAGAAACAGTCTTGTAAACAAGCATTTTTCTATTTAAAACAATATGATTGCCATGTATCCTCCAAAATACATAACCCCTCATTTGCTAGACAAGTGAACGAATACCCAGAACTACAACAGGAAATTCTTATAGTCGATGGGCTATATTCAGTAACTGCATGGAGTGAAAAAGGAATTATAATTACAGAGACAAATAGACAAAAATACTACAGGAAGGACAATCTAGAATTAAACAATGTATTCTTCTTCTTCTTGTTGTGCCATATCCGTTATCGGACGTTGGCAATCATGTTGGCGATCCTGTTTTTATCAGCAGCCGCACGAAAAATGCTGCTGAGCTTTGGCCAAACCAGTTCCTTAGATTTTGAAGCCACAATGTTCTTTTTCTGCCTAGACCTTGTTTGCCTTCAATCTTTCCCTGGAGGATTAAATGGAGTATGCCGTATTTTTTTGGGTGTCGCACCACATGTCCGAAATATTCTAATTTTCGTATTAGTGGGATCTTATTGGCCTTGATAGGAAAAAAATGATTTTAAGATTTAACAGCTATTTACAGTTGATCCTTTGCCATGGTTGTTACATCCTGACAGCACATGAAGTTATTTTGCTTTTTATAACCAGCAGTGTAAATGTTGCCTTTGATTCAGGCTGCTATATCAACTGTGGTCGTGAAAATACATGCAGATATGAAGATTCATTTCCCACCAAAATGCACTAAAATATTTTGGCTCATTTTTGTATGCCACAAAAATAGGTTAATAGTAAAAAGATTCTGAGGAATAGTCTGACTGTGCAGACCAGCTGCTCCTTTGCAGTCGACATATCTAGGTCAGACATAATTAGAACTGGATGAGCATGTGCACCAACAGAAGCAATGTAATATTTCCAGGAAACAAAGATCAGCCTGTAAATGGAATATTTACAGTGTCTAAAATATTTACAACACAAAAGCTATGCAGGTTCACATTAGCAAAGCTGTTGTAAAACATTTTAAATCAGCAACTGTCAAATTCACTTGGAAGTACCACGTTAATCTTGCCCTATCCGTAGATGATGAATGGCAAATCCCACTGTGTTATTCCATTTTTTTCCAGTAACAGTAACAAAGGTGGATGGTTTTTTTTATACAGGATTCATGTGAAATTTTGTTGTCAATGTATTAGAAGAGTTGGTATAGGTTGCAGAGGTTTTGTTGTTGGATTGGGAACCTTTCAGTTTGATTGGCATCAAAGATTGGTGCAACTCTGGTGCAGCACGAAGCATTGCAACAGCCTTCTGGAAGACCAGGAAGATGGAGCTCACTGAAAGCCTACTGTATAAGTGAATGAGACCAGTTAGAACTGCACAGCTGAAGATTCTGACCACCAGCATTTTGGTGCAGATGGCTGTCTCCAAATCATCACTGCTCAGCTATTGCAGATTCTTCAGTAATACAGAGGACTTGGTTTTTTTGTGCAGGCAACAGCCATAGAAATAATGGTGGGGTGCTTGTTTTGGACTGGTCTTTCATCTGAGAAATGATGATGCTGGCAGTCAGATGTGGCCTGTTTTGGATTTTAGCAGAATATATGGATATCTGTGAGCCAACTTGGAGGGACCGTGGGAGCTGGCAATCTTTCAGACGGAGTGGGTTTTATTCTATGACTGCCTTGAGATCGGTTATGAAGAGCAATGATCATTTTGTCCATTTCATCTTTTTATGGCCACTGTTTATGTTCCACTGAGTGAATGTTCTGTAGGAATTTTGTGCCTGGGTTACTCCCACCATTCAAGTGAGGGAAGGGAAAGTGTGATGGACAGGGAAAGTAGTAGATTATTGGAAGAATATGGTTGAGAGAAGTAATAATAATAATATGGGACCTTGGAGGTCATATAGTCCAACCTCCTGCTCAGGCAGGAAACCCTATACCATTTCAGACAAATGGCTGTCCAGTCTCTTCTTAAAAACTTCCAGTGTTGGAGCATTCACCGCTTCTAGAGGCAGGTTATTCCACTGATTAATTGTTCTGACTGTCAGGAAATTTCTCCTTAGTTCTAGGTTGCTTCTCTCTTTGGTTAGTTTCCATCCGTTCTTCTTGTCCTGCCTTTGGGTGCTTTGGAGAATAGCTTGACTCCCTCTTCTTTGTGGCAGCCCGAGATATTGGAACACTGCTATCATGTCACCCCTCATCCTTCTCTTCATTAGACTACATTCCCAATTCCAGCAACCTTTCCTTATATGTCCTCTCCATCCCAAATTGCATTAAGAATATTGTGCACTGCACATCTAATTACAAGCCATTATGTTGCCAATAAACACATAAAAGTGAACTTGTGAACTGACCTATTGAAAACACTGACAAGACAAACTACTCAACCATGAAGACTTATCCAGTTTAGTAACATGCATGGAATGTAAAAAGCCACAATAATATCTTCTCAGTCCTTTCCTTGTATTCTTTGCGAAAATGTAACTCCACGTAACAACGTAACTCCATGTTTCTGTTCACTGGTCAGCACAGAACTATTTATCTGTTTAAAAATTAATATTTGCAAAGTAATTCTTCCCTATGGTATGTGAATGTATGTAGAGCTAATTATATCTGCAATCACTTGCGACTACAAGTTTCAGCTAATTCTTTCTGATTTAATGCCTCAAAAACAGTGAAATGAACAGTGTGCACCAAAGTTCGATACTAGGCATTTTGAAGTTACCAGTTCCTTTAGACAAATAATATGAATATTAATAAACATTAACATGTATAAGAGATCTGGTGCCTACCAACAACAGGTGCAAAAGCAAGAAAGCGGAACAAATTTTAGTTTATGGAGGCATCTAGGAGGCAACTGTGAGAAACAGGATGGTTTATAGCAGTGGTTCTCAACCTTTTTAATGCCGTGACCCCAACCGGTCGTAAGTCGAGGACTAAACCGGTCGTAAGTCAAGGACTAAACCGGTCATAAGTCGAGGACTAAACTGGTCATAAGTCGAGGACTACCCAACCGATCGTAAGTCGAGGACTTTCCCTGCCCGGGAGCGCCGCGCATGCGTGGTTCCACCCCCTGCTCCGGCCAAGGCGTAGCTGGCAAGCGGCAGAGACAGAGCAGGCCGACCACCAGCTGGCCCAGCCCAAGGGAGGTAAGGCACCCGCCAGAAAAGGGGAAAAAATGGCGGACAAAAAAATGGCGGACAGCCTTGCTTGGCGACCCCCATGAAATGGTCGATCGACCCCAAATGGGGTCCCGACCCACAGGTTGAGAACCACTGGTTTATAGAATATAGAATCTGTAGGATCTTAGACACTTAGACTTATCTTAAAACATTTTTCTTCTGGCTTAGACTCTGCTAAAAAGGTAAAGGTTTATCTGTCCAGTCATGTTCAACTCAGGGTGCGGTGCCTATCTCCGTTTCTTGGCCAAGGGAGCCAACATTGTCCAAAGAAATTTCCACGGTCATGTGGCTGACCTGGCTATATGCCAAAGTTGCACGGAACACTGTTACCTTCCCATTGAAATGGTACTATTAGTCTACTGGCATTTGCATGCTTTCAAACTGCTAGATGGGCAGGAGTCTGCTAACTGTATATTATTCCTTGTTTGCTTCTTTTCTTTTCAAAACGATGTCCATTATTACTTAATTATTGTTCTCTAAATTGTGTCTGAGAGGCCACTTTTTCCAAATAATATCTGTAGTCATTACTAAGATTTAAGAGGCAACTACACATTTTTCAAATTAGGTTTTTCAAAATATAAATGGTAAGTAGAATGTCACTTAACTGCACTGCAATGAATTTCCAATAATAGCATCTATTTTCTCTTGGTCAAAATTGGTCTTAATTAGGTTGACCTTTAAAGAGTTTTTATCTTCAAATTCTTTCAGATTCCATTCGGTTACCATTCTTTCTTCACCAATCGAAGGATAAAAGCTTTACTGCATATGTAAGTCCATGAAGAATGCTTGAAGGAAGGACGAATAATTTTACTTTGTGTGTAATACTTCATATATACACATAATAGTTCAATTACATATATATATATATATATACATATACATATACATACATACATACATACATACATACATACATACATACATACATACATACATACATACATACATATATATATATATATATATATATATATATATATATATATATATATCTTTGATAATTTTGAATATTGGAATCCCAGGTATGGACATTTAAAGTCAATCAGATAAAAATAAAGCACTCTGGGATGTAAGGTAAAAGGCTTTTTTTTATTAATTGCTGAGCTTTCGTTAACAACCTGTTAACATCATCAGAGCAAAGGGCTAAATGAGAAGGGGGGGGAGTAAGCGCATAAATTTACATAACAGTTNTAGAGGAGAGAGGTCCCCCACTTCTCTCCCTTTTGAAATCCATCCATTCCAGATCCAGGAAGCTCAGAAGAAAAACACCAATGGAAAATACGCAGGACGTGGCCAAAGAGAGAAAAATAAATTTAATTTGCATGAATATTGTAGAAGCCAGGCTAAAAGGAAGCAGTGTGGTTGCAGGCAATATGGAAAAAATGTTAATAGTTTCTTCCCTCTTGGCGCACCCAAAAAACTATGCAGGAAACGCAAACCACATACATTTATCAAACTTGGGAGGGGTTTTAGTCTGAGCACATATGGTTATTCCCGTGAAGAATTTCACACAAAGGGGTGTAAGTGCGTGAAATGTGGAAAGAGCTTCAGTACAAACGGTAACCTCCTTCGCCATCAAATGATCCACACGGGCGAAAAGCCATATCAATGCGCTGAGTGCGGAAAGAGATTCATTGAGAACAGAGACCTCACTCGTCATAGAAGGATCCACACGGGAGAAAAGCCATATAACTGCCCAGAGTGTGGGAAGGCCTTCAGAACAAATGGTCATCTGACTCGCCATCAAATGGTACATACAGGGGAAAAACCCTACAAATGCATGGAGTGTGGGAAGAGCTATATTGAAAACAGAGATCTTACTTGTCACAAAAGGATCCACACGGGAGAGAAACCATATAAGTGCAGAGTGTGTGGAAAGAGCTTTCCTCGGAACAGTGCCCTGATTGGCCATCAAAAAACCCACACTGGAGAGAAACCTTATAAATGCATGGAATGTGAGAAGAGCTTCATTAAGAAAGGACAACTTACTTCCCATCAAAGGATCCACACAGGTGAAAAGCCATATAAGTGTATGGAATGTGGAAAAAGCTTCAGTAGGAGCAATAATCTTATGTCCCATCAAAGGATCCACACAAGGGAGAAACCCTATGAATGCACAGAGTGTGGAAAGAGCTTTCTCTGTCACAGTGGCCTTTCTCGCCATCAGAGGAGACACACGGGGGAGAAACCCTATAAATGCACCGAGTGTGGGAGGACCTTCATTCAGAAAGGACAACTTGTTTCCCATCAGAGGATCCATACAGGGGAGAAACCGTATAAATGCACGGAGTGCGGAAAGACCTTCAGTAGCAAGAGCGCCATTGCCTACCATCAAAGAATCCACACCGGCGAGAAGCCCTACAAATGCACAGACTGTGGGAAGACTTTTATTCAGAAAGGGCAGCTTGTTTCCCATCAGAGATTTCACACGGGGGAGAAGCCATATAAATGCACGGAGTGTGGAAAGAGGTTCGGTAGTAGCAGTGCCGTTACCTATCATCAAAGAATCCACGCCGGTGAGGAAGCCGACCTTCGCGCATGAGGAAAGATCTTCAGGTAGAGCAATGGCCTCCCTTGCCATCACATGACCCAGACATAGAAGTGGGTGAGAGGAAGGCCAAGCATAAGTGAACTCTCCTCTCACTCAACTTACTCTCCATGCATGCCCAGATACGAGGAAGAGGAGGTCCTTTCATGGGATTACCCCAGTGGAGCTTGGTTGCCACAGTTGATGGCTAAAGGAATGCTGGAACTAAATATGGCAGTGTACCCCAGTAAATGGAAGAAAAAGAAGGAGGAAGAACCACCGAGCTGTAGAAAGAGGTGAAAAGAGTGTGTGCAATTTGCAAAGTTATTTTTTAGCCATTCATCAGGGAGGAAAAGTCCATGTTAATGCTTTTGACATTTACCCTTATTTATGTGTGCCTTTAACACAGGGGTAGGCAACCTTGGCTCTTTTATGACTCGTGGACTTCAACTCCCAGAATTCCTGAGTCAGCCATGCTGAGGGGAAAGGGAGAGGTTTCCAAGCTGAGCCATGCTGGCTCAGGAATTCTGGGAGTTGAAGTCCACAAGTCATAAAAGAGCCAAGGTTGCCTACCCCTGCTTTAACATTTAATATAACCAAGTAAATGAATTCCAAACTGCATGTCCCTCTTTCGGTCTATGTTGCCCAAATTATTTTTGTTCCCAATTTTGTACAGGTAATCCTCGACTTAGCAGCCACAATTGAACCCAAAGTTTCTGTTGTTAAGTGAGACATTTGTTAAGTGGGTTTTGCCCCATTTTACGGCCTTTCTTGCCACCATGGTTGAGCGACTCGCTACAGTTGCTAAGTTAGTAACCCGGTTGTTAAATGAATCCAGTTTCCCCATTGACTTTGCTTGTCAGCAGGTCGCAAAACGGGGATCATGTGACCTTGGAAGCCAGCAACGGTCCTAAGTATGAGCCCGTTGCCCAGCTTCGGAATTTTGATCACATGATCATGGGGATGCTATAAAGGTCGTTAAGTGTGAACAGCGGTCATAAGTCACTTTTTTACAGTGCTGTTGTAACTTTGCACAGCCACTAAATGAACTGTTGTACATCAAAGACTACCTGGATAGATTTCCCAAATTCCATGAATGAATTTGATGATTTCTTGAACATGACGTGATATATCCTTTGTCTAGGGCAGGGGTAGGCAACCTTGGCTCTTTTATGACTCGTGGACTTCAACTCCCAGAATTCTTGAAGTCCACGAGTCATAAAAGAGTCAAGGTTGCCTACCCCTGGTCTAGGGCAGGGATGTCAAACTGCCGGCCGGCAGGCCAGTTGCATCATACGGAGACCGCACCCACCCCAGCTCCGGCAATGCAAAAAAAGTTACGATAGGTCGCAACACATCACATGACACATGAGTTTGACACCTATGGTCTAAGGGCAGGGGTAGGCCACCTTGACTCTTTTATGACTCGTGGACTTCAACTCCCAGAATTCCTGAGCCAGCCATGCTGAGAAGAAAGGGAGAGGTTTCCATGCTTAGCCATGCTGGCTCAGGAACTCTGGGAGTTGAAGTCCACGAGTCATAAAAGAGCCAAGGTTGCCTACCCCTGGTCTAGGGCACTTGAAAATCAGGTGCAATGGTTAGGGATTTGGATTGTAAGAGAAAGGATTTTCCTTTTCTTTGTTTTTTTCTCTTTCGTTCAGATATTTCTCCTCACTTTCTCCTCCCTCTTTTTCCATAGGGCTGTATTCCCATATAGGTAGTCCTCAACGTATGACTTTCACCTGAGCCCAAAATTTCTGTTGCTAAACAAGACAATTGTTGTAAGTTTTGCCGTTTTACAACCTTTCTTGCCATGGTTGTGAAGTGAATCCCTGCAGTTGTCAAATTAGTAACACAGTTGTCAAGTAAATCTGGCCTCCCCATTGACTTTGCTTGTGAGAAGGTCACAAAAAGTGATCACGTGACTCCGGGACACTGCAAATATCATAAATACAGGCCAGTTGCCAAGCGTCTGAATTTTGATCACATGACCAATGGTCATAAGTGTGAAAAATGGTTGTAAGTCACTTTTTTCAGCGCCACTGTAACTTTGAACGGTCACTAAACAAGCGGTTATAAACCAAGAACTACGTGTCATTAGATTTTCTATCAGCAAGAGAGCATCTTTAGCCAATTGTTAACTATATATATAAATGGAATGAATTCAGTTTCTGTAAGAATTTGGTGGTATCACATCGCTTGATGACCAGGATCTGGAACGTGTTGTCATGGCTGATTATCAACCCAGTTTTTGGGTTAGGTATGTGGATGACACCTTTGCGGTCATCAAGCGATGTGATACCACCAAATTCTTACAGAAACTGAATTCATTCCATCCAGACATCCAATTTACAGCAGAAGAGGAGAACAACAACACCTTACCCTTCCTGGATGTCTTAGTCCATCGCCTTCAAGATGGCAACCTATCAACCACCGTTTATCGCAAAGCCACTCACACCAATAGAATTCTCCACTACCAAAGTAATCATCCTGTATCGCATAAAATCAGCTGTTTAAGAACTTTATTCAAAAGAATCAAGACCCACTGCAGCACAGAAACAGCAAAATCTAAGGAGAAAGCATATCTTCTCAGCATATGCAAACAAAATAATTACCCACTAAGTTTCATTAAACGTTGCTGCAAAGATAAGACACCACA